CAGAGCGGTCTGGTGAAACCCGAGAGAGACGACACAGAGTTCCAACATCTGTACTTCCTCCAGGGACACGAACACATGCTGGAACACATCAAGAGAAAGATATACACACACACACACACACACACACACACACACACACACACACACACACACACACACACACACACACACACACTAGGGCAGTGTCTTAAATTGACTGCAGTAAAAGAATAATAATAAAAAAAAAGTTGCACAGTTGTTCTACAAAGTCCTGAAACATAAAACCAAGTAAAATGTATTTGCTAAGTCTGCATCTGCAGTTTAAAATCAGTACGTCTCATTTTCTGATGGACAAACTGTGACGCAAGTCTGAGGAGCCTGATCAGAAAATGGTGCTGCATGAAATGAGAATATATTATTAAAGTTTTTTATAATACATCCTGATGGGAACGTGAACGCACCGGATGTTTTAAATTTCATGGCAATCCAGTAAGTGGTTGTCAAGACTTTTTAAAGTCATTAGGATTCATCCTCTGGGGACCATCAATGTCTGTTAAGTGGACAGACCTTAGGGCCACAGAGTTTGGCTCCTGACGTCTCTGTTCACAGACACAGAAGTAGAAATGTGCGGCTGCGTGTGCTTTAAGAGAATAATTTACCGAATCAGGCTTTACTGTGTGTCTGCAGGTTTCTATAGTGAAGAGTGAGGAGACCAAAGTTCGTCAGGAGGACCTCAGTAAACTGCTGTATGAAGTCCAGCTCCTCAGGACACAGCAGGACAACATGGAGTGTCAGATGCAGGACATGAAACAGTGAGTGGAGGCGCGCGGGTCATGTTTTAATCATCAAGTGTTTGAGCCCACAGAGAGCGACCGTGTAGAGCTGCAGGTCTTTGGCAGGCAGGCCCTCAGCTGACATCTCCAAGCACCTGCAACAGCGAAGTGTTAAAGGGTCGATCCTTCCACTTGTCTGCGTCTCTCCTCTCATCTGTGTTTTCTGCTCTGGGCACAAAAACACCACACAGATGGACAAAGCCATTTTTAGGCTCAGGAAAATACCGAACAGTTGGTGCAGTCCTGCTCTGGTTACTGGTTAAATGAGTGTGAGTGTGGTAGTTGCCCCTCAGGCATTTAAACATGTGACATGTGTTAATGACACAAGCACAGTCAAGGTTTAATTTACAGCAGGCTCATTATTTTATAAAATACTTTAGTCTGTCACATTCTAAAAGCTGTTTGGACGATAATCTTTGGTTTAAATTCTTGGCTTAACTGGAAAAACCTGATCCAGGTGCTCAACTCGATCGATCATCTGAACAGGATTATAAACGTTAATTCTTGAATACCCCATTTTTTTTGTAGCTTGTGATAAATTCTGATGCTTTGCTGCTCTGGGAGAAATGGACCCGACCGTTATTCCAGTTTCTAAGTTGGAACAAATCAACCCGGTGGATGAACGGACTTTTTCTCTAGAAGCTATTGTTGCTGAAAATAGCTGCAGTGTGTCCATTGTGTGATGGAGCTGCTTTGTGCTCGGTATTGTTTGCTAATGAGAGGAGAGAATGTTCACCTGCTCACCTGACCGACACACACACACACGCACACGCACGACATTCTTAGAAAGCATGAACACATGTGCGTGCACGTGCACATGCCATGCACACAAGCATAAACAATGGTCAGAGAAAATATTCCACCGCAGGCACAGTCTTTTTTAATTTTATCATATAATTTAAAATGGACGAACGTCTTAATATGAAAACATGAG